TTAAAATGCTATTTTAAGGCTATTGAGGTTTTAAGAAGGCACTATAAAAATATTATGAAGCCATACTCAGTCATTTCAGAGCATTGTGCTACCTTGGACATACAACTTAATTTCTGTAGCCTTCAGTGACCACATTTTCATTCTAGGTCTCTGTGATAGGGATAGAGCTACAGTTGATGGGGTACATTTAGATGGTGGTATCATATGAAGGAAATAATAGAATGTAGGTTAATGCATTGTCAAGTACAGTCTGTATTTAATAAGTAGCTGCTATCATTTTTTTAAATTGAGTAGAATTACGATTTTTGTGCTAGGTCGGTCCAAATAGTAACGGGGAAGTGAGGTCTCCACTGGGAGATCTGTAGGGGAGGACACTCACTTGTGAAGGCAGGGAGGCAGGAAGAGAGCACTCTTCTCTAGGAACGCAGATGCTGAGAGACAACAAATGGTGAGTGAGTGAGGTTTGTGGTGGTTAGTGCTGAAGTCAATGTTTCTACTCTGAGGGAAAGCTAGAAAGGGAAGCTCCTGCAAACTGGACCTTCTTTTTCTTTTCTTTTTTTTTCTTAAAGATTTATTTATTTATTTATACAAGCACTGGGTACAGTCAGAAGCGCAGGAGGGTGAGAGAATTCACCAGAGCCAGAGCAGGGAGCAGAACAGGCAGAAGGACTGAAGCACACTGCTGAGGGGAGCAGCGGGCTCGGCAGGAGAGGTCTGCACGCCATGTGGGACCCTCGCAGGTGGCCGGGGATCAAACTGGCGCTGCAGAGGCTGCAGGCAGCTTTGCAGCCCAGTGTTCAACCGCTGCGCCACCAGGGGAGGCCCAAACTGGACCTTCTTAATTCATGCCACTATTAAGGATTTTCTTGCTCTTTTTTTTTTAAATCTCTATTCTTTGTTAGAAATCATTCCCAAAGAGCTTTTTAGTCTTAAGTCAGCTGCGCTTTAGTGAGACTGCTTGAGTTAAAGGAGATCCTGACTTCTCTTCGTAGGGATGGCAGTACTCAGCTGGGACCCTGTAGGGAAAGTGGATTTTAAAGAAAGGTTTTGTCATCATGGTTTGTTGAACTACCTTCCCTTTCTGGAAAGTGTCCTTCTAGTGGCAGTCTTAGAGGTGCCAAGTTGTATTTTAAGAAACATAGCTTGACCTTCCAATTTGTCTCTGAAAAGACATTGGCAATATCTATACCTCAGTTTCAGAGTCAAATTTGGGTTGGGGGAAAGAGTGGAGATAGGAATCTTGGTTAGATGGCACATTAAATGGGCTCATACTAAACAGACTATCTTGTAACCTTCCCTCTCTTACATAGCTTTAAAATGTATCTTGGTACACACAGAAGAATTTGGGATAATACTAACTTAATACTAACTCTCTCACTTGCTCTCAAATTGTTTATATGGGTATGGGTGGGATGGAAAGGAGGAATAAAAGGAATACATGTTAAAATACTGATGTTTGTGGGGATCTTTTTTACTTTCTTTTTTGAAATTTTTCTGTAAGTATAAAATTATTTCTAAATAAAAAATGAAAGTGCATAAATCCATTCAAACCCATATATTTTGCTATTACTGTCCAGTCTGCATAACATATTGTTGTGTGGATTCACTTAAAGGTATTTAGTTAAGCTTCCATTGCTGGGCATTTGAGCATTTCCAATTTCTTGCTGTCACAAACAGTGCTTCTTGGAGATCTTTAAATATGACGTATGTGCCTGTATTTGGAATAGAATCCCTACTCTGCTTTGAAACATTTCCATTCCCACAATGGATCTGATTGGAAAATTCACAGTAAGTCAGCCAATTAGTGCTTGAATCTGAGAACTTATTTAGAATTTAAAATGGGTTAAATGTTGACTGTTTATTTGTAAGATAAATATTGCTAATCTACAACAAATTCTAGAAAAATTTCTTCAGTCCTAGTCTAATATAATAAAACATTAGAAAAAATTAATTTTTTAGGGATATAAAACAGTAGGCTAAGTGTTGACTGTTTGAGTAATATTGAAGATCAGAAAGTCTTTTTATTGGTCTGAATTTGTAACTTTGTGACTTCATTTTGTGGGAAACATTGGGAAAGTCTTTTTTGTTCATTGAAACACACTTCTCTGTTTCATTGATTGCCAGCTCTTTTGTTTGGATTCCCAGTCTCATTCTAATAAACAGGATGGGGGAGCTATTTGACCATTCAGTATGCACTGTTAAACTGATTCATCTTCAACTTCTAATTGTTAGTTCTTCTAACAATGCATGTGAAAGATCGATACCCATAGAATATGACACATTTTACCCTGAGGGCACACCGCATTCATGTCTGTATCTGACATCTGTGCTAAAATGTTTGATTATTAATGTTTGGTCCAATTTTTAGGCAACCTTTAGTGGTTTTGGGAAAAACCAGTAGGCAGGTCTAGTAGTTGACATGCATAATGCCTAGAGGCAGAGTCCAGTAGGTTCGTGGATAAGAGAGTTACCCTTGATTATACCTCCTAACTTTCTGACCCTAGCTCAAAAGCAACCAATGGCAAAATTTTCAGAAAAAAAAAATTTTTATGAAGTTGACATGTTTTGAAGTGCCATTGTGGGAGTTGATATGCACCATGAAAAGGATTGAAAAGTTCAAAGTAAGGAGCCCAAGAAACCAGGACATCGACCTAAGGCTGCTGAGCAGGTTTTTGGCCCAACCAATGACTTCACCTTCAACAAAGTTGTGCTGAAAAAGATGTTCTTGAGTTGAAATAACCAGCTGCCTCCTTCCTCTTCCTGGAGGATCTGGAAGGTGAAGCTCCCTGACTGGGAAGGCAAAATAACCGTGGGAATAGGGACTATAGTGAATGATATGTGTGTCCAGGAGGTGCCCAAACTGAAGGTGTTTATGCTGCTTAAGGTTGGAAAGGGGAGAGATCTTCACTTTCAACCAGTTGGCCCTCAACTCCCCCAGAGACTGTGGCACCATCCTGGCCTCTCATCTTCTAACAGACCAAGAGGTATACAGGCATTCCTCAAGGTCCTGGCAACCCTGCACGCCATACCAAGTGCCCTACCTCTGAGGACTGGAAGTTTGAGCACGCCAGAGATCAACAAGTCAGGAATGGCTACAAAAATTAATCTAAGTTTATATGTTCAAGAAACAGACCCAGGCAGGTCAAATTGCATTTAAATTTTGACATAACTGGTAGATTCAGTTCCAGGGCAGTGTGAATGTTATATGTTCTTTCTTTTTCCTTTTTCCTTATACTATACTGGAATGAGGGAAATGCTAGATTAATCAACCCTAGATCAGGAATTAGTAACCAGTGATATATCAAATTACACTCTTAAATTACAAACAAGAGCCAGGAAAAGAACCACTTTACATCTGCTATCTAGCTGGTAGGCAAGTATTGCACTAAGCTGACTGGGAAGACCAGTGCTTTACAAGCAGCAGTGGCAATAGCGGGAGGGGTGTGTGTTACATAGGACTTGGCTTGGGCACTTGGCTCTTGAACTGACACAGAACAGGAATTGTTATTTCTTTGAAAACCATGAAGTTGTGGGATTTGCTTCATGCTCTAGTTAAGGAAAGTGATTTGTTTTTTAATATGACTTTATCCCTGTCTTTTTTGTGCTTAAAAATATAAATATGTATATTAAATGTCCTTAAATGACATTTCCTAGATACTATCTGTGATGCTGATACTACCAACTTTTGCCTTCATTTGTTTTGCTAGGGATAAGGAAGTGGTATAAAGAGTGGAGCTTTCCTCTAAGACACTAGGTAATCTCTTTCCTTAGTTGGGGAAATATGTCTGGGAGAGCATGTGCATATGTGAGAGTGTGTGTGTGTGTGTGTGTGGTATAAAGAGTGGAGCTTTCCTCTAAGACACTAGGTAATCTCTTTCCTTAGTTGGGGAAATATGTCTGGGAGAGCATGTGCATATGTGAGAGTGTGTGTGTGTGTGTGTGTGTGTATTTATATGTGCATAGATAAAAATGTAGATTTGAAATGTAGGGCTAGAGTGTTGCAACAGGAACTATGTTGCCGCCTTTAGGTGGGAACACAATGAAGGACACAGCAGTCATGGAGCAGGTTTGCAAGGCAAGACTGCTACTTGAGCAGAAGTTCTTGTGCCATTTATTGAAAGTATACAAGCTGGTAAAAGCTGATCATGCGACAATGGTATGAGGAATAAGGTCTGGAGGGTGGGATAGGAATGGGGGACAAAATTTTACAAGGGACAGGGAAGGGGACATCATGACCATGCGTCAAGAGCCATTTGCGTCAGCAAAGTATGATGTTATCAGAGTTATCCGAGACCACCATGGAGATAGTCACATAATCAGTTCAACACCGGCCTAGGCGTCCCCGGACCTGCCTCGTGATATGGACTATACTCCGTAGGCAGTCAAGGAATGCTCTGCTGTGATTTGCAGATAGCAAATAGGTCACAGTTGCCCATGAGTGGCCAGCTAGTAGTCAGCTCTTGGAACCCACACTAGAGTCATTTAACTTTAAAATATTTGGCAGCTTAGGCTGTTAACAAAAACTCAGCCCTTGATTGCATGGTGGCCTTCATATGGTGGGCTGGCTTACCCAGGTACTAGGTGATTACCATCTTTGTGTTCATTTAGCTTGACTCACTTGGACAGATGTTGCTATGAAAAATCACATGGTGATACTGATTTTAGCTGTCTTCACTTTTATCTGTTTTTTCCCTAGATATACTAATATTCTTGAATATACATGATTTCTGTTGAAGCTGTTGACTTGACCTAAGGATTAGAATTAGTTTGCTGTTGTCTCCAGCAGCATCTTCCCTGCTCCCGGGAACCCCCACATCGTATACATTCATATTAAAGACAGGTGTAATCTCTCTGGTCTTATTTCCTCCAGAAATGGTGAAAGGTGGCCATTGGAGTGATTTTATTAATGAGTATTGCTGTATTGATACCAATGGCTAAGACTATCACTGGTTGTTTTTTGTTTGTATGCTAATCTTTTCATTCTTGCTTTTCACATTCAGCAGACCTACTCCAATGAAGTCCATTGTGTTGAAGAAATTCTGAAGGTGAGTTCATTGTTACTGTTTCTCACTTCAAGAATATTCAAGTAGGCAGACAAGTATCATTACCTTACTTTAATGAGCCTTTCCCAAACCTCTTTAAAGAGTGGCTCCCTATCTCAAAAGCAAAATAAGCAGACCAGTTACAAAGAAAGTGTTGGAATATTATTGAATCCCTAGCAGATTTTACTAATTAAAAGGAAGCCTACAGATTGTAAGATATTTGGATCAGAGTTTTAAGACTTCTTTCTCAAGTTTTTCTGTAGTTGTCTGTAAAGATCCAAGGGAGTTACTTCCCAAAGAGGAAACTCCCTTTATTGATGAAGTACAGAAGGCACCAGAGGTTAAATAGTGCTTGATTTACACCTCTTGGTGTTTTGTAGGTGGCACCTCATGTGTATGGCCTCACCTTTAGCTAGACCATGAATTTTTAACTGATTAAAAAAAAAAATAGTAGAAATCCTTGGAGTATAATTTTTTGCTCTTGTTTACTGAGGTCATGCCATGAACATTTGTGCTGCTTCTGCAAATAATATCATTGAATCCATTACCCATTTCAGTTTTTCTTGCATAAAGATGACAGATTTCTTCTAGAATTCAATTTTAGGGGAAAAAAATTCTCATGGATCATCATGCTTTCTTTTATCAGAAAGGAATGATAAAAACTGGTATGTTTCCCATTTTGGCTTTATTTTCCAGGATTTCTAGAGTTAAATTTAATGCTAAATACAGTAATTATTATATCCAAGCATTTATTTCTCATTTCTTACCTATGACTCTTGTTTATATCAGTTTTAATACTTTCATCTTTTATTACAAGTTTTCTGATTTTTAGATTTATGACCCATTTTTAGATTTATGACCCATCTACCTATAAATTTGTATCTCTACTGCTGACTCTCTCCCCTTACCCCCAAATGCATGCTTACCCAATATTTTCCTTCAATTTTTCATTATAAGATATTAAGTGAAGTGGCACTGAAACCAGTATTAAGAGTATTGATTACCTTCTCACTTGTGAAACTTTTGACAGAGTAGTATCTAACCAGTTTCAAAACACTTCCATCATTTCTGTTTGACATTATTTTGTCCCCTATTTTTTGTAGTTTGGATTTTCTGAGAAAGAAATACCTCTCAGTAAACATATTTTATACTGCCTTTTTAAAAACTGTCAACCAGTAAGTAAGATTAATAATAAACAAATTTATCTTGATCAAACTTTGTTTCATCCTTTCCTTCTGGTATTTTTGAAATCTTTGGTATGGTGAGTCATAAAATAACAAACTACTTAGTTATAAAATAAGCCTGTAGCATATTCTCTGGAATTGCAAGATATTTGTTCTATAATTATTTCAAAAGTAAAGGTAACCCCATAGTTGTCTTCTTCATATATCAGATGCTTCTCTTGAAGTTTGGTGTGTTAATAATACAATTTGTTCAATCCTTTAATTAGGATGATGATAGTAAGAGCACCAGACAAGGATTTTAGTTTAATAAACTCATCCATCCTTCATTCCCATCCAGCCAACGTCATTTTAATAAGCTCTTGCTTACCTTAAAATGGTTAAACCAAGCAAATGATATTTCCATATGGAAATAATGACTAAGCAGAGCAAATTAAGGGATATCCTGAAGGGACACACAGATCTTGCGTAGTGGACTCTGAGAGTCTGTCCCCTTCTCTTTTCTTTTCGTGCCTTGGGTAAGTAAGGTGTTTTCCCTGGCCCTCAGTTTCCTCATTAGCAGAGGAAGGCCCTGGGCTAGCAGATCATTTCGGCTCTCACTCTCTGATGTTGATCCAGACACTTGCCTCAGCCTGGTGGTTGCTGTTCTTATCTGTACCAACAGTTTGTGGAGGTTGCCAGGAATCCTGACATAATCTTTCTGTGAGCGATTGAGGCAGTAGTTTTCTAACAGAGAAAAATCTATCATGGAAGAAGTTTTTTTTATTATTATTATTTTTATTTATACAAGCACTGAGTACAGTCAGAAGCGCGGGAGGGCGAGAGAATTCACCAGGGTCAGAGCGGAGAGCAGAACAGGCAGACTGACGAAGTACGCTGCTGAGGGGAGCAGTGGGCGGCAGGAGAGGTCTGCGCACCATGTGGGACCCTCACCAGGTGGCCGGGCATCGAACCAGCGCTGCAGAGGCTGTGGGCAACTTCGCAACCCAGCGCTCAACCGCTGCGCCACTGGGGAGGCCCAGTTGTTTGATTTTTTGGGGGGGAAATACTAAGGGTAGAAATGTTTCAATGAAGAGGAAGTGGTGACCTGGTACTCCCATAGGCCAATGGAGAGGGAAGATAGCAGAGAGACATCACTAGAAAACTGCATCTGCTCATGCTCAAGGTGTCTGGACAGTGCCCCTCCCCTCAGTGGTTATATGGAAAGAGCTGAGGTTTTCTATTTGGGGTGGCACAGCCTGCCTAGACAGTTTGAGGAGCTGGTGTAGAACTTGTAGATATTACCTCAGTGACACTGGTATGATGAGTGGAAGTCTACTATAGTTCATTCATTTATTCAACAAATACCCATCAAGCCTCAAATACCTTTCTAGACACTCAGGGTGAGTTATGAATAAAACAGTCCTTTCTCTCATGAAGATCACAGTGGGGAAGATGAATACATAATGTCAGGTATTGAAGTGCTATGAGTCCTGTAGCAGGCATGTGAACGGAGGATTTGGCAGAGGCATGACACTATGCAAACACCTCAAGGTGGGAGTAGATTGTTGTATTAGAGGAGCAGAAAGAATTGGACGGTGTGTGTTTAGAGCAAAGAGAACAAGGCAAGAGTAGAGAGATTTGCAGCTGTGGCGCTTAGAAGGCTGAGGCTGAGGCTGAGGCTGAGGCAAGGGTCTGCCCCCATTTCTATGTTAAGACATTGTTAAGGCAGGGAGCAAATTCATGGCCTTGTGATTCTGGCAGCCTGGTTTCCTCATGACCCCAATTCTTTTAAGGCTGTAAGTCCTTTCAGTAAGCTAGAAGTTTAGGGAAGTATATAAATTCTTACCCAACTAATGGCAAACCACTTAGGGCCTGAAAGACTTTATACACTTTCTAACTGCCTAATTTAATAGCTAGGACAGCCTTAGGCATTGTGAGAGTACAATGGGTATTTTCTGGGAATAATTGGTGACTAAGAGAGATACCATTGGGATTCTAAAGAAATTCTTAGAAAACAGGAGGGTGACATTTTCAAAATACCTTTTCAATTATTTTTTTTTTTTTAGTTGAAGTAACATTGTGTTATAAATTTTATAAGTTTCAGGTGTGTGTTACTGAGAATGAACACTTTCAGATATTTGTGACATGTTTTTATATTATAGCATTTAATGGTTCCATGCCTCTTAGTCAAATAAAGGCAGCAGGCAGCTCTCTTTGGTGCATTATTGAAATTCCTTAAAAATTAGACTTTTAGTTAAAAATTGTCGAGGGTTTAATTTTTAAAGTGTTTTCTGTACTCTATGTATCCAAGCCCTTTTTGTAAATTAACCTTGGAACATTTCGAAAATTAAGTGATTATTATTGAGAACCGAAGCTCAGAGAGTTCAGACAACTCAGGCTGAGTAGCTGGTAAAGGTCTGACTTCCAATGTGTTCGTCCGCCTCCAGAGCTTTACTCCTTCCATTATATTTTAGTACAGAATTCTTGTTTTGTACTGAATGAAAACAGATGGCTAGGTAATAGATAAGGGCATGATTTCACTTTTAACAAAATTTTCTTAAGAAAACTAGTATCAGGTTACTTTTCTTGTTACAATGTCAGGTCATTTATGTCTGTCCTGGGGCTATAGCAACTCAGAACAACTTGAGAAAGGCAAAGGACAGGCATGGAGGTTGAGAGTGGAAGAACTTGATAGCACTCTATCTCCAGTTATTGCAAGGGTCAGATTGCACTTTTATGGTGATAGAGATAGAGAAGTTGCTCAGCACTTTGAAAGGAAGGATGTGTTATAATAAAGTGTTGCATAGGTGGGGTAATATACCATCACCTGGGGTTCTCAGCTTGCTGGTAGAATCACCTATGCATACGTAAACCTGTTTGCCTGATGGCTCTCACATCTGTGGGAATTTTCTCTTGGACTGGAAAGGCTCTTGCCCTGTGCTTCACTCTGTTGTTGGCTTCCTGGGGGACCTGACCCATTATTTTGGACCTCAGTTTTCTCATCGGTGAAAAGAAGGGATTGACTCTTCAAAATAGTGTGTGTGCATTATGCACGTATGCACATATTTGTATTAGACACCTTTAATCTGACATTCTGTTTTCCACTAGGTTTTTTTTTTTTGTTTTTTAGCAAAGCATACTATAATTAATGAATATATTGTAATAAAAATTTCATGTCAAGATAAATACATTAATTCTAAGTTTTAGAGCTGTGGCCTCCATGAAAATATTGAATAGATATGAAATGTTATTTCATGGAAAGGGAAGGTAATTTTTTAAGGCTCTCTTTTCCAAAATAGTTCTTATGTACTAATTGTGTATATCAGGGAAGGGTCAAATCCATTAAAACTCTCCCAAGTGGAACAAGTGACCTGAATTACTTGTTTGCTTAAGTCAAACAGGAAAGTTCTTCTTCCTTTGAACTTAAATAATTCCAGGAAATGCAATAAAGAAGCTGAGCAAGAAAGCAAGCATTGCGTGGAGACTCAGTTTTCAGTTACATAAGCTCTGGTAATACCCATTACCGTTGATATGCTTATGTTATTCAGAGCGTTAAAACCATTCATGTTCCGTGTTCTTGTTTATCTTCTTTGAACTCATTTCTTTTCAGTTTTGTAAGCTGGAGATCTTCAACTTTTGGAACATAACTTTGGACCATGTAAGAGGGAGTACTTTTTTTGAAAAAATAAATGAAGTAACTGAAGATAATCACTTTTCATTTATCACCAGTCCACTCAATGTTAAGTTTAAAAAGTTAAGTAGCAAAAAATGTTCTACTTATAATTTACTTTTTCTTCCCTTTATAAATCTCTTTCCAGGAAATGACCCATTCATGGCCTCCTCCTTTGACAGCAATACATACGCCTAGTACGGCTGAGCCATCCAAATTTCCTTTCCCCACAAAGGTAATTCCTTATAAATTTAGCAGGCATTGCACTTAGACCAGTGAAAAAGTTTGAAGTGTTGCTGAGGGTCAGATTAATAAAGTATTACCAGTTGAAACTCATTGGAGAGTAGCTTAAAATTGCAATTAGTTTAGCTTTTGAACTGCTTCACAATACTTTCAAATACTTTATTCTCCAAATTATGTTAATAAGAACAACTTACATTTGTTTAGGACTTTATAGCCTTTGAAAGCATTCAGAACTTCCCAGTACTCTCACTCGAGTCACTTAAAGATAGCATAAGAGAGGTAGAGGGAAATTCAATTAGGTAATTTGTGTGATTTCTAGTTCATAATTCCAGTATGCATGTACTTAACATCCTCTTACACATCTCAACATCCCCTTCATCTTCTTAAAGTTTAATATAATCAATTATCTTTGTGTTGGCTTTAATAACAAGTGAATCAACAGCTGACCTGTATGTTTCCATTACAGTATTTGTGAAACATTATATTGAAAACGCTACCTTTTTCCATTTTTTTTTAACCCCTTTGCTTTGTACTTGTGGATGACCTTCAGAAAGTAGAAATATCATCTTCAGATCTATGTTCTGTCCATCCAGCCTGGTATGCACATATAATTTTAATATAGCTATTCCTTTCCATGATACTATTTTCAAAAGCGATTATACATCTATACAAACCAGGATTTGCCGTGTTAGATACTTTACGTATTTTCTAGTGATAGTTTTTGATTCATCATTACCAATTTAAGGTAAAACTTTATATACCTTTTTTAAGAAAAAAATCTTTATGCAGTACCAAAGGAAAAATAAAGAACAGAAGCAATAAAACCTATTTTACATAAAAATAGATTCATCAGTGTTTATATTAGCAGTGATGTAACTTTAATAGAAGTTTTTCTTTTTCTTTTTAGGATTCCCAGCACATCACTTCTGCAACTCAAAACCAAAGTAAGTAAATATGTATAATCAATTCTTATATTGGAGAACAAAGCATGTTTTGATATTTGAAAAAATAAAATTTTAATGAAAACTACCCTGGTAGAGATGTCCTCATGTTGAAAGAGCAGGAAAGAGGGCAAATTTAAAGCTGTTCCTCAGGTAGAATTTTAGATTATTATAAAAAATTAATGAAGATGTTTTTTATAAAGTATTCAATATAATTTGGCAATACCTGACACGTAAGTATTTTGAAAGTGGCTCCCAAAGCATTATATAACCCAGGAATTGTATATGAGAACAGATTTTGGCATTTTGTGTGATTCTTCATTTTTAGGCTAAACTAAGGAATTTTAGGGAATATAGCACACAGATTCTCTATTCCTTCTATATGTATTTGCCATCTAATTATTTTTGGTCCTTTTTTTTTTTTGAAAATTTATTATTTATGCATACAAGAGCTGGGGTATAGGCCAGAAGCGTGAGGGGTGAGCGGATTCACCAGAGACAGAGTGGGGAACAGAACAGGCAGACTGACTGAAATACACTGCTGAGGGGAGCAGCGGGCAAGTCAGGAGAGGTCTGCTGCGCCATGTGGGTTGCTCGCTGGCCGGCTGGGAACTTGTGCTGCAGAGGCTGCGGACAGCTTCATAGGTTGTGTTTTAACCCCTTGCACCACCAGGGAGACCCTATTTTTTGGTCCTTTTTAATGGATTGTAAATATTTGAGTTTGAGGGTAATGGAAGAGAGGTAACTGGATCCAACTTTTCTTTTTATCAGTACCCCTCAGGTCAATAAATTTTTTGTGTCTCAAGTATGTACAAGGCATTTTAAGCCTTACAAAAATAATGAGTGTATTTTCAATTATTCAGTTTGTCAGTTTGTGGTAAGCATCCAAGTTATGAAGTGTTACTAGTCTTCAAAGAATGGGAAGGAAGAGAGGATTTGTGGGAGTGTAGGTTGAGAGAAGGGAGATTCATCAGTGTTCCATGGACATGACTTTTCCACCTCATTCTTTTCCCTGATTTACATTTTTCTTTTATTATTTTACTATTTAAATTGCAAGAATGTAAAGAGTAAAAAATTTTAGAAAAGCAAGAAACAAAACCTCCTTTCTCTAGGGCAGGGTTGGGTGCTCTACAGCCTGAGTCAAAGCTCTTGTACAGCTAATTTTTGTAAAAGTTTCATTAGGATACTGCCATGCACATTCGTTTATAATTTTACTTGAGGTATAATAAGTAAAGACTAAAACATTTACTATCTGACCTTTTCAGAAAAAGCTTGACATCCTTTTTTGCTCTAAAGATGCTGAATAAGATCTTGCAAAGAACTCACAACTAAATTTCCCCCAAATGCAGAAAAATAAGACATAGCCTTTCCCACCATCCCTTAGGGCTACCAGTCATGCAGATGGTTTGCCTTCTGCTGGGTTGCTTTGGCTCTCATCATTGCTAACTTCTGATTTAGAAATATTCTTTAATCCTTCGTGCTGTTTGATTTACCCTTTTTAGCGAAAGAAAGTGAAAGATGAACTGATATGCTGAGCCTGAGTGACAGTCTTGCAGTAGTGTGGGCTGATTTCTCTTTGCTTTGATAAGAGACTATAAGAGACCATCACAGGTCTTCTATAGGTCTTGGCTCACCAGATGCTTACCCCGCAGTCTTTCATCATGCTACCCCTTTGTCTCTTGGTGTTCTGGAGAATTTTGTTTGGCTTTGTGAGAATGATTCTAGAGGGATGAAGAGGGAATGGAGTATATATGGGATATAGGTTTCAGAAATGTAGGGTATGACACATTTTTTCAGCAAGAGAATTCAAATTTCAAATTACCATATGGTTTTGGATTCTAATGAAAAGTGTAGGGATTTTACTTGTATACACCACTATTTATGTACACATGTGCAAATCTTGGCTCCTATAGAGAGTGTATGAAGTCTTGCCCCTTCCAAGGACCAATTCTTGGACATCAGCAGAATGTCTCAGAATTCAGCTCAATTCTGAGACTATCTAGCTGGAGGTGGCTTCAGATTCCACTGATAAAGGGCTCAGTTTCCCAAGACCACCCTCCATTTCTAATACCAGTCACAAGCCCAGGTAATGTTACCTGTGCCTCTGACCAATCTTCTATATATTGTCAGTTCCCACTACCCCGTCCTCAGATTTCTGATGCCAACTATAAGCCCAAGTTGTGACCTGTATGTCTACTGGCTGTCGATAATTTAGAGTTCCCAGGACCCCTCCTCAGGTTTGATTAATTTCCTAGAGCAGATCACAGAGCTCAGGAAACCGATTTACTCAATAAATCATGGATTTATTACAAAGGCTATAATTCAAGAATGACTGGATGGAAATTGATGCATAGGGCAGGGTATGGGGAAGGCACGGAGCTCCCATGCTCTCTCCCTGCATACCATTCTCCCCAAATTGCCATGTGTTCACCAACCAGCTCTCTGGAATCCCTTTTGGGTTTTTAATGGAAGCTTCTTTACATAGGCACGAGTAATTAAATCACTGCCCCTCTCCCTTCCCCAGAGGTATGGGGGTAGGACTGGAAGTTCCAACCCTCTCATCACATAGTTGGTTCTAGGCCCTCATCCTTATGTGCTTCCCTAATAGTCACCTCAGTCACATAACAGAAGACACCTTTGACTCTCTCAACTCTTTGAAAATACCATGGCTTTGGGGAGCTGAGAGCTGGGAACTGAAGAACACATATGTATGTGTAACCAGAGCCTTGTGGCACCTAGGATCAAGATTGGAGTTTCTGTGAGTGGTCAGAAGAGTAACTTAGGCCCCTCTTAATTTGTAGTCCTGGCCTTAGCTTTCTAGCCAGAAAAGAAAGAAATTTTGAAATAATCGTATGTGAACTGCTGCCACCATGAGGATAAATCATTAGTTGCAAAGATTCTAGGACATTTGTGGGAAGGCACCCATATTTCCACTGCACTTGGAGTTCCGTTTTAGGTCCCTGTTACTGATGACTAGACAAATAAATGAAGCTGCCTCCCTCCTGGTTTGTCGCCCCCTTGTGTAATATTTTCTGTTCCCTTCTAGGTCATATAACAGGCAGCACCACCAGATTAATCTTAATGAGGAATCCCTGTTTAAACATTTAGTAACCGCTCATTGCCCAACAAATATCATAACTTCGCATGCTGGCATTCAGAGCCCTCTAAAGTCTGACTTGTACCATCTTCCCATGCTGTCTATCACAGATTCTACACCCCGGCCTTATTAGTCTCTCCAAATTAGTGCCATTTTAACTCCTTTCACCTCCATATCATCCTTCACATTGTCTCCTCTGTCTGAAGGCCTTCTCTCCCTCCTGCCAGCAGTCATTCTATTGAAATTTTAACCATCCTTTGTGACACATTCTTTATGTGACACATTCTTTTTGTTCTTTTCTCATTTGCCTTTAGTCATGAGCAACGCAGTGACCATCCTTTAGATTCCTGCAATAGTTAGTGTAGTTGATTGATTCATGTGCTTACCTCACACTGCCAATGGGTGTGGAGATTTGTGTGCTTCTTTCAGATGCTCAGTCAGTTGTAAGCTCATTAAGAATAGGGCCAAGGGCCATGGACATCTTGCTATCTACTAGGTGGTCTATAAACAACTGTGAATAGATGCATGGGGGGCGGGGGGTGTTGAATAATGGAAGGACAGACAGAGCAGAGAGCACAAGGGACCAAAGACAGAAGCTGTGAAAAGGGAGTTGTGGCAAGTCATGCGTGTGTGTGGTTGACTCAGGTAGCGAGTCAGGGAAGCAGCCTTGCCATAGCACTTCATGTGAGCCCCCCACCAATGGATATCATGGAAAGGACAGTGTCCATCTCATAAGAAAGTTAACAGAGGGCCTCCCCGGTGGTGCAGCGGTTGAGCGCTGGGTTGCGAAGCTACCCGCAGCCTCTGCGGAGCCAGTTCGATCCCCGGCTGCTCCCCGGCCACTGGAGGAGGGTCCCACATGGCCCACAGACCTCCCCTGCCGCCCGCTGCTCCCCTCAGCAGTGTACTTCGGTCCCTCTGCCTGCTCTGCGCCCCGCTCTGGCTCTGGTGAATTCTCTCACCCTCCCACGCTTCTGACTGTACCCAGTGCATGTATAAACAAACAAACAAACAAACAAATAAATAAAAACATGCCTCTATAAAAAAAATTTTAAAAAAAAAAGAAAGTTAACAGAGGATGTGCTGCAACTGTTTACACTCTTATTATGGCTTCGTCAGTTCTGAGCAAGCACGCTGTAGAAGTAACATGAATGTTATTTTATATAATGGTGAGATTTCTACCCAAGTGTAGTGTCTCAGGATTTAAGTATCAAAAGGAATTGACACTCTCATGAATGTATGTCCCTGTGCTACTCTGATCCTTTTTTCTCTCCCCCACAGAGCATGATACATCTTCAAAAACCCACCATAATTCTCAGCAAGGAACATCGTAAGTAAAATGCTATTGCTTATTAAAAATTTATAATTTAATGTTGTGATTTCCAATGTAAATATATTGGTTAGATTCTTTTTTTCCTGCTTTCAGGTAGTCATTTTAATAAAATACTGCCACACTGTAAATGAAGGAAATATGACCCACAATTATATTTGGATTAAGTTCTCCTATTGAAGGTTGAAGCACCAGAGGAGAGTGTAATAAGGGGCTTTCTCAGAAGAAAGTACTTGAACTACTATTTGTATTTCTTATCATATTAACTGTGGACAAATATAATGTTTTGATTATAAATTTCAGCCCCAAATAACTTTAAAATTTGGAAACAAATTTGGGGGAAGTCACACAATGTAAGATTTTCTGCCACTTTTTTGGCCTGTGATGAAGAATGAGTTCAGTTGCATAGCTATTTTTTTTTTAAGACCAAGTAAGTGCAGAAATATTTTGGGTTTTAAAAGCTGTTTAAACTAGATAATAAAGACTTTAACAGCAATTGGTCCCAATTCATCATTTCTTGATGGTGCTGATCTAACATTTCTTACCCTTCATACAGCAGGATGTGGTTTTTAGGGACTCAGTGAGGAGGCCTTTCTATAAATTAGTCAGTTACTAAAACTGAATTACTAGTATCAGAGGATTTTAGGCTTTCACCCAGCTTTCTTCTACTTTGTAGGCACAATATTTGTCCCTGTGTTTTGGGAGGGGAGTTTGCTCTCAGTTAAGTATTCAGAAATTTATATAGTTGAGTCAAAGAAGATATTTTATCTCTTTGTCCTGATTGAATGTGGGGTGGATTTGATCACCAGCAATCACTCTTCCCAAAGGCCAGCGCCTTGACACAGTTTGTTTTCACTTCTCCATACACAGCAAGAAAAAAAGAATAATACAATAAGATCTTTTTTAAAAGGTAGATTCATTACAGTTTGAAATGTGGACTTGTGTGTGCAATGAAAATAATTTACAAATAAAATACTAGCAGATGGGAAGTTTTTTCTAGCAAAGGACAATAAAAAAAAACAGAAAATTCCCGTCCCTCTTTTAATTTTGCATTTTGTTTTCAATTCCTTTTTCTTTTCTTGAAAAAAGTTTCACTGACTCCTGAATTCTGAAAGTTTAGGCTCACTGACTTAGATTACATTTAAAGGAGGGAGTTTGTTAAGCCAGTTAATGTCTGCTAGAGAACAGAAACTGCAGCTCTGAGGACCACAAGGACGAATTCTGTGGAAGCTCTGTGACTTCCCCATGCTTCACCTTGAACTTCTTTGTCATGGTGGGCAGTAAAGCCCTTTGGACCACAAAGGCTCTGGCCTTTGTCTTTGGGGGCAGGGACAAAAGGGGGATGCTACTTGTGTTCCACTTGGCTATAAGCAAGCAGGGCAAGAGTGCTCCTAGGAGCCAGTGGGGGCCAGCGCCATCTAGAGAAGGAAGCAGCTGTGTCCCTGGGACTCTAGGTACAGGAAGAAAAGTTAGGTCTGCTCTAGTCCTGAGAAGTGCTTTGGCTTGATTGGGCCAAAGCCACACCTTCCCAGTCCAATTACCATCAGCTTTTATTCAGGTTTACATAGTTGGTAAGGACTGAGATCTTCTATGATGATTTCAGAGAAATGGGTTTGAGAAGTGGGCTAACCATCTGAAGTCAGTGGTGCCTGACAGTTTATAACAGGTTTACTTATATCTTGTGACATATGAACTGTGTTCTTCATAAATGCTATTAATTTGCCATATATAAAATTGCATGAGAGAGTGTCTGTGATCGCAACAGATGTGGAAGTGATAAAAGTATAGTGTAGTGGAGGTAAAGAGGAAAGGGAAAACTGACAGGAGAAAGTAATACTGAGATTGAGTATTTAACTAGGGTTGTGGCAGCGTTGAGGGGGCCAGTGGTGTTGATAAGTGCTGAAATAAAATGTACCTCTGGGATGAAGCAATCACTTTTTATAAACTTACTTTCAGTGGAGATTGGATAAAAACAGTTTCCTGGTTAATTTGTACAGTGCAGCCATTGTTTGAGATTTAGTGTGGCAAACCTCAGTGCTCACAGGTTAATTTGATCTAGTGTCAGCATCAGGGTTCTTTGACATGCAGTTAAAGTAATTGAGTGGCACTTAGAGTGCTAAGGAAATAGTCTAAAGTACTTTGAATGTCAGGAAAAAATGTTAATTACGGGGTCATTTGTACTTTGGTTTTAAAAATCAATCTAGGTCTTAATGCTTTTTCTTAACAGATTTATTAGTACTTAAAAATCTTTAGAAAAAATGGAGTAGTACATATAAAAGGAAAAATAGGGGCCCAACATTAGAGAATCAGCTTTTAGATAGACTGCATTAACTTTTACATCTGTCCATACTTGGGGCAAAGAGGGTAGCCATGTGTTAGAAGGTGTGAAAGGAATATCCGCTCAGTCATTACTTTTAATCTCTGTAGTTGAGGGTCTAGTTATTTCTCAAGTGAATTCTGCAAATCAATGATTAGCTAAGATGTCATGCTACTTAACCCTACATTTTGGGGAGGAGATTGTTGGTTTAACGCTGTTGGTTTTGGCTTTGAATCACTTTCCTTTCCAAGGCTAGATTTGCTGAGTTCTCAGGGCAAAGTATTATTAGGTCTTTTATTTAGTTGTGGACAGTTCCATTTCTGTGCAGCCAAGTGATGTCAGATTAGTGATGTCAGAGCTTTTGTTGGCTTCTCAAAAGGAACATTAGAATATTACATAGTAATAATTTAGAAATTGTGGGTCTGCTACTCCTAAGCAGCCTGTTCAGCCACCATTTTGTTACCTGCAGTTCTGCATTCCTATACAAGGTCAGAACTGCCAGGCCAATCAGTCATAGCTAAACCTTACAAGGTGCCTTTCAAATCAATCAACAGCAGAAAGCTTGATCACCCTTGGAAGGGTTGGTTCACTTCTCCAGGTATGACCAGGAATGCCTGGTGCTCCAGGTATAACCGGGAACGCCTGGGGGGCTGAGGACAAATGTATAACAAGGGACCCCAGAAGCTTATCAGTGAACTGCCTTATTGATAAGATTGAAACCCTGGCTGGGGATCTGGGTCTTGATCTCAATTACAATACCAACTCAGCAAGCAGATGAGAAGTGCCTGGAGAGCAGACTCCCAACCGCTGATGCTATAGATGACAGAGCACATTTTCTAGATTCACCCCCTCCCTTTTCTTTTTGTCCTCCTTCCCCTTACAACTGATGCTGTACCAGAATTCTATCAATAAAAAGGTCAAGATCTTGCTCTTCAGCAGCAGCCTACATTTTGTAGCCTGCTCCACAACTCCCTCCCGTTTCTTTATCAGTGTGGTGTTACCAATGCAACAAGAAGTTAGGGGCCTCCCTGGTGGCACAAGGGGTTAAGTCTCAGCTCTATAAAGCTGTCCACAGCCACTGCAGGAAGCATGAGTTTGATCCCACCAGTTTGGTCCCCAGATGGCCAGGGAGCTGACCCACATGGCACAGCAGACCTCTCCTGTCTCGCCCGCTGCGCCCGCTGCTCCCCTCAGCAGTGTATTTCAATCAGTCTGTTTGTTTTGTTCCCCACTCTGTCTCTGGTGAATCCTCACACTCACACCCTCTCACACACCACTTGTATGTATAAATAAATGAATCTTTTCAAAAAAGTTATAAGACAGTTGATAATGTATCATTGTGTCTAACTTCCTTCTCCCTTGCCCCTCTGGCAGTAAATTGCCTGGTCTTGACTAAAAAGTGTCTTCCGTTATTTTTCTTTTCTTGATTTGCCTCTGAAATTGTTAATAATTATTTAGACAGCTTCAGAAAGGGACAGAAATTAACCACTAGAGCAATTTGAATTTTTTATTATGTGGAAAATTTCTTTTGAAATGACAGAAATTGTTCTAGAGCAACCCCGATATTAAAACGGGTTCCTGGCTGTGGGTCCTCACCCACGCGCTTTAAAGGGACTTATGAATACTCTACTACAGACACACACAAAAGGTTAATAAAAGGTTTATTTACAAGAGAAAAGGAAATAAGGAAAATGTACAACTCAGGGAGAAAATAGGGAAATAAAGTCTTTAATGCATCCTACCCTATCCGACGACATGGAAACCCAAAGTCACTCTCAGAGCTGGCCGGATGCTGCGAGCTGGTGGAGAGCCAAAATGGGGGATTCCCCAAAGCCCACGTGTCTGCCTTTTGTATCCACCTGGCTGCTTAACCCCACCCTCAGGTCCCAGCCACCTTCCCTTTGGTGGTGATGGGATTTGGAGTTCCCAGTGTCTTTGGCTTTGACCTGGGGTGGGGGTGGAGTCCACAAAGCCTATACGGAATTAGCTATGGGACATCCTTTTCCCCCTAACAAAATAACTGAATGGGAAGCCTGGGGTTGCGATCATCCTAGCCTTTGACATAAAGGATGGGCAAGGTTAATAAAGGTTGGAAATAGTCTGGCCTTTGAAACGATCCTTAGTTACCAACTTTTTAATTTTTTTAGATTATTTATCCATGCAAGAACTGGGGTACAGGCCAGAGCTATGGGGATTGAGAGGATTCACCAGAGACAGAGTGGGGAACAGAATAGGCACATCGACTGAAATATACTGCTGAGAGGAGCAGCCAAGTGATGTCAGACAAGTCAGGAGACGTCTGCTGCTGCGCCATGTGGGTAGCTTCCTGGCCAGGGATAGCTTTGTAGGTTGTGTCTTAACCCCGTGCACCACCAAGGAGCCCTTGAGTTACCAACTTTTATTTAAAACATTATTGACTTGTAAATATCTTGGTAAATAACTATGCCAAACCCATTTTTTCAGATTTCTGTAATATAGACACATCCATGAGGACATATGTAAGCTGAAATATCCTTGAACTAAGTCTGAAGAAGTAGCTTATTTGTACCATTAAAATCATACTTGTTCATTAAAGTCATACTTAGACCTAAGGAAATTATTTTTCCCTTTTAAAGATATTTATTTTTGTCTTGTCATTAAATGTTAGGTTAAATTATGTGAACATATTTTTACCAGAGTCCTT